GCATCTCATCTCTGCAACAATTCTTACTACAAAAAGTTTGGAATTTAATTCTCATTCTCCATATATCAACTAAATGAATGTTAAAAAACCCCTCTGAAGGTGATTGCTTTCACTAGATTCTGTATTCTTTAGGCCCTTCGTTTTCTATTGTTACCTGTAGTGTAGACAAAATGGCTGGAGTTCTCACATCCACCAGACAAAGGAGAGGGCAGTAAAGATTAAAATCAGAAAATCAGATGGGAGAAAGAAGTGGGCGGACAGAGCCTGACCTGTAATTACACGCTGTTTCATGAACAATAAATACAACGTTGACTGTGAGAGTCCTTTGGAAGTGTACAATCCCTTGACCACTGCCATTGTCTTCATTCATTTAGCACTGTGTCCTCTTAAGGCCCCAATTTTACTGTTGTCCTCATCAAGTAAAAATGTAGGTTATTTTCCAATTTAGGCCACCGTGAATATAAATGCCATGAGCATGAGAATTCTGATACTTTTTTTTTTTTTTTTTGGAGCTGAGGATTGAACCCAGGGCCTTGCGCTTGCTAGGCAAGTGCTCTGCCACTGAGCTAAATCCCCAACCGAGAATTCTGATACTTCTTAATACTAACTTTAATTGTATGGAAGATATACTGGGAAGACTGCAGGGATCCAGGGCAATCCTATCATTTTATGAAAATTCTGTATTACTGTAGACACACATGAACACATGGATAGAAAGAAAATGTCTGGAGAACATGGTTTACTCTTTTGTTTGTAGTAATGGGGTTGCTTGGGTGTAGGTACTATGTCCAAATGCATCAAAATACATACACTAAATATGTGCAGTTTTCTATCGACTATTACAATGCAACATGCTTTTAATGAATTTTACTTGATATCTGTGGAAAATTCCAAACTACAGCTATCAGAGAATATTTTGTACGCCATTACACAATGCCATGTCACACTTAGATTCAATGTTAAATTCTAGAGCATGTTTTACTCTTTGCTTTCTCAATTAAATTATAGTTAATAGGATATCTTTTATGTGAACATAACAATGCATTCTATGTCACTAGACTTACCTCAGTCCTCTTTCTATGTCTTGGTACATTTTTTTCAAATCAGTTTCAGTTTCACATGTTTACAGTAGTTTGCTAAAAAAAGATTATACAGAATAGTGTTTTTTACCCTATTATAGTTTTGCAAACAACACAATTAAAATAATGTATTTTCAACAACAACAACAAAAACATATTGGGTATGGTCAATTTACAGCATAAATTCAATATAACCCACAGAAAATTCCCAACAAATTATAACAGGAAAGCTGATTCCAAAGCTATGTGCCATGTGGAAAAACTCAGAACTCTTAATAGGATTAAGACAAACTGGTCTTAATTGACCAATGTGACTTTTGTACTTAACACAAATCTGCAACTGTTGTTGGTCCTTGGTCTTTTTTGGTAGGCCAAATCACACACAGAAGCTTATTCTTTCTTATGAATTCCCGGCCTTAGCTTGGCTTCTTTCTTGCCAGCTTTCCTTACCTTATTCCAACTACCTTTTGACTCTGTGCTTTCCTGTTCTCTTACTTCTATAAATCTTACTCTTACCCCTTGACTTGCTGTGGAGCTGGGTGGCTGATCCCTCAAGTCATCCTCCTTGGGTTCCTAGATCTCTTCTCTGAATTTTCTCCTTCTATATATACTCTCTGCCTGCCAGCCCAACCTATCCTTTCTCCTGCCTCACTATTGGCCATTCAGCTCTTTATTAGACCATCAGGTGTTTTAGAGAGCCACAGTAACACAAAGTTAAGCAAATGCACGTAAACAAAAGTAACACAACTTAATATTCTACTACATACAACAATGAAGAATATGTACAATATTTGTGAAAGAATAAGGGAATAGAGAGAAAAAGCCGAAAAACCAAAGCACAAAAATATAGCCAAGGTTTCATCAAAAGACCTAAGGAATCTCAACCAGGAAAAATGTGAACATGACCAATGTTATCTATGATTGTACATCTATAGAAACTACATGAGAACAGACTGCACAACTCCCACAAAAATAACTCAAAGCAACCCCTAAACTGATGTATTTCTGACCCTCCAGCTACTACTGATCTCTTTTTCAAACACAGAGACCACATGCTCTAGAGCTCTCTGGAATTGCAGGGGAACAGAAACATTGACTATGGCTATGCATCCCCTCAGTCCCCATTGTGGTTTCAGGAACCCCCAGTCTGACTGATGCTCATACACAAAATAATGTTGAAGAATAATTTAATATCTGGCTCCTGACACATGAATTATGGCACAAAATGTGGAATCTGCCCTATCTACCTGCCAAACACCATGAACACCCAAGGAACATCTGCAGCTCAGAAATTCCTTTAGTTTCCCAGAACTGAATTTCCCTGAATCATGCCATTGGGACTGGTGGTAGAGGAAAGTTAAAAGCATTCTAATCAAGAATATCTGAAAGATGACCCCCATTATCTCCTTTCTGCCAGTTTCTAAACTATTTGTAAAACTTAACACACAAACTGCAGATTGCAATGTTGAGAATCTCTAAAAATCAGACCTTCAGTATTCCAATCTGTCTTCCCACTGCACACCAAAAACAATGCCAGTGTGTGCACAAAGGACAGTGATAATATACACACCGCATCTCCCATAGCCAGGCCTGCAGAGCCTCCCCATTCCTAGGGAATGCACACTCAGGAAGGTTTAGAGGAGAAGGGCCACTGCCTGGGTCAACACATGGCCCAATGGACCCAGACTACCTCATGGTCTATCCAGCTCTCAGCCGATCTGATAGCTTAGGCAACATGCTCCTCCTACATGGGAGACAATTACCCCTCTTCACCATGGCATGGCTTATGGTCTCCATGCAGGCTCCCTATAGCTGCGTTAGAGGAGAACCCTAGAAAAACCCACAATCCACCTCCCATTGGGACTCCTGCCTGTTAGGCTTGCCCAGAGTCCCTCAGTAGCTAGTATTACCTGCTTGGGCCTCAGTCCAGATGAGCAAAGATCAAATGACTAAGGTAGCACAGGTCTTCCCAGCTGTGTCCTTCCACTTTAAGGGCAGACATGGATCTAGTCTGGGAAATTTGTATTTAAGTAGAAACTCTTCCAGTCTCTCAGAGTACTTCCTGTTCCTCTTTTAAGATACAGTGTCCCTTCTGTGCATATTCCATTCCACAGTCACTGACCAGTGCAATCACTAGGGAGTTTCCCAGTAGAGATTCTGCTCCATGACATCCAAAGAAGATCTTCACCAAAACTTATTCAAGAGATTTAATGGGGAAAGCGGAATCCAGAAGGGTGTCTGGAAAAGGGCAGCTGCTAATTGAACAGGCACAGGGCACATATAGGGCTTCTTAGGGGTAGACTTTTCTGAGGAAAAATTTTCAGGATGAGAATTGGTCAGATTTCAATCTGTGAGCCTGAACAATCTTGGAGATTGGCTGGATTTTGTGTCAGGGATTGGTTGACTTTCCTGCTCACGGATTAGTTTGGTTTCATGCTAGCTTGGTAATGGCTATGCATGTGTGGTTTTTTGGCTCTGGTTTCAGGGTTAGTGTGTGTTTTCTTTTGCTGGTCCTTTTACCTTACATGTATGGACCCATAAATTCACAAATATATTTTTTGCTATGACTTTAGAGGTGCACACAGTATAAACGTGGATATCATAATGTTTGAACAAATTGTTGACACTGTCAATTTTTTCTACAGAATAAATACGGTTGTATAACTGAATGTAAGTATGTTTGGCTAAAGATCTTAGAAAATACTTTATAGTAAGAAGCCCTTAGTATTTTTATCAGGTACTCAAATATTACTGTAATATGCAAAGGCTTTAACAGACTCATTGCAAGCAAAAAGTTTATTTCTGTATAAAGTGCAAACATCACAACACTGGCTACATTTATAGGCTTTCTCTGCAGTGTGATTTTTTCTCATGAGTTCGAAGACTACTGGTATATGCAAAGACTTTACCACACCAATTACATTCATATGGTTTGTCTCCAGTATGTGTTCTTTTATGCCTTTGAAGAACACTGTGTTGAACAAAGGCTTTACCACATTGATTACATTCATAGGGTTTCTCTCCAGTATGTGTTCTTTTATGCATTTGAAGATGACCCACTTGTCCAAAGGCTTTACCACACTGATTACATTCATAGGGTTTCTCTCCAGTATGGGTTCTTCTATGTAATTGGAGACTTCGATGTGTAGAGAATGCTTTACCACATTGATTACAGTTATATGGTTTCTCTCCAGTATGTGTTCTTTCATGCATTTGAAGAGAACTCTGATGTCCAAAGGCTTTACCACATTGATTACATTCATAGGGTTTTCTCTCCAGTATGTGTTCTTTTATGTATTCGGAGATTACTATGACATGCAAAGGATTTACCCACACACTGATTACATTCATAGGGTTTCTCTCCAGTATCGGGTTCTTCTATGTGCTTGGAGACTACTCTGTGTAGAGAAGGCTTTATCACACTGATTACATTTATAGGGTTTCTCTCCAGTATGGGTTCTTTTATGTATTTGGAGATTGCTGTGAAATGTAAAGGCTTTACCACACTGATTACATTCATAGAGTTTTTCTCCAGTATGTTTTCTTCTATGTAATTTTGAGACTACTCTGTATAGAGAAGGCTTTACCACATTGATTACATTCATACGGTTTCTCTCCAGTATGGGTTCTTCTATGTAATTGGAGACTACTCTGTCTAGAGAATGCTTTACCACATTGATTACATTCATATGGTTTCTCTCCAGTATGTGTCCTTTTATGTGCTTGGAGAGAATTCTGTTGTCCAAAGCCTTTTCCACATATATTACATTCATAGGGTTTCTCTCCAGTATGTGTTCTTTTATGCATAATGGAGAGAACCTAGTTGTCTAAAGGTTTTACCACACATATTACATTCATAGGGTTTCTCTCCAGTATGTGTTCTTTTTATGTATTCGGAGATTACTATGACATACAAAGGATTTACCACACTGATTACATTCATAGGGTTTCTCTCCAGTATGTGTTCTTCTATGTAATTGGAGACTACTGTGTGTAGAGAAGGCTTTATCACACTGATTACATTCATAGGGTTTTCTCTCCAGTATGTGTTCTTTTATGCACTTGAAGATGACCCACGTTTCCAAAGGCTTTACCACACTGATTACATTCATAGGATTTCTCTCCAGTATGTGTTCTTCCATGCTTTTGAAGATGACTGTCATATGCAAAGACTTTACCATATTGAGTATATACAGAAGGTTCCTCTCCAGTATGTCTTCTTTCATGCCTGCAAGTAGAATTAGCACACGTAAAAAGCCTTACCACATTCAATACACTATTGAATCTTTACCTCTGTATAAATTAATTTTGCCATTTAGACCCAACTGCAAAGAGGAATCAAATCTTAAGGTTTTATCACTGTATTTGCACTCATGTTTTTTCCCTTCAGGAAGGGTTGTTTTGCATCGTTGAAGATACCTATGATGGAAAGATCCTTTTTTACATGGTTCACATACATAGAATGTTTTTGCTTATTAGAGAGTTTTAGAGATATTCTTATGACCCTCTTCAATGTGTGTATTTTTTGTAATATGAGTAGTATGAAATAAATAGATTGGCAGTTCTACAGCATATGTCTCATGGTACTGATGATTAAATGCTGATATCTGTTAAGGCATTGTTTCCTTGTCATCTTTCTTAAAAGATTGCCTTGCAAATGCAATTCACCAGCTGAAATTGAGGTATACAGTTTTTGTGAGAATTTCATAATCATCAATACATTTTAAGCAGTGCTTATTTATACTGTTGCTTTTGTTTAAAACTTCCACAACACATTACAGTTTCTTGAGAGGCACATTTTGTATCAGATTGCACATGAAAAATTACCTTTCATGCCTTCTAGAAATTTGATGGTGTTCTTCAATATTATCATCTTCCCAACTGTATCCTAAAATATAGTACCAGAAAATGTATGGTATATATTATATTGAAAACTGGGCAAAATTTAACTTAATATCTTCAGTGAACCTTAAAATCATGCCTAAATTATTCACCTCATTCTTTTTCTTTCTCAATCAAACTACAGAAGAGCGTCACTAACCAAAGAACAGGTCTCCCCTTAATTTAAACATGAAGGAAAATTCAGTCTTACCTAAAATATAGAGGTTCCTGTAGGTCTCCAGCATCACATCTTTGTAGAGAGTCTTCTGGGAAGGATCCAGCAAAGGTCCATTCTTCCCAAGTGAAGTCAACATGCACATCATCATAGGTCACTATATTCTAAAATATCCCATACATGTGTACAACAGAAAGTATGATACTGATGACATTGCAAATGTATACTTCTTTGACAACATAGTGATATAATTCTGGTGCTCCCCACATTTATTCCATAACATAGAAATTATAATGTAATTACCAAGTCCCTTTAGATGAGATGAGAGAAATTGTATGAACAATTAGTAAGTACAAAAAATAAAAATAAGATGGACAAGCTGAATGTATTGGCTCATGCCTTTAACCTCAGCACTCAAAAGGCAAAGGCAGGTATATCTGCCTCTGAGTTGAATACCAGACTAGTCTATGCAATTGGTTCCAGGACAGCCAGAAGTACATATTAAGATACTGTCTCCCATGCAAAAATCAGTCAAACAAACAAGATAGAACTCAGGGGTTTCTCCTGAAGTTCCTAAAAAGAGTTATGCATTCACTCCAGTTCTGTACTCCTCTTCCAAAAACCTGAAGTGCCCCGATTTAAACTGTAACATCAATAAGAGTTTACTAAAAGACACTGCATGTTTAAACAGTTACAAATGAACAGATAAAAAACATTAGCAATATAAATGTTGATCATAAACAATCAAAACAGGGCAGGAGATGGCTCAGTAGTAAAGAGCTCTTGCTGGTCTTGCATATAGGTGGGCTTAATTGCCAGTACTTACATGGGGGAATCACAACTATCCATTACACCAAGTTCAGGGGTTCTCAGACCATCTTTTGATCACTATGAGGACCAGGTGACCATGTGGTGCATAACCATACATACATGTAAAACACTCATATTCATTTAAAAAAATATCAAAATAAACACAACAGGCAGGAAGAAAGTCCTATACCTGCATAATGTTCTAGACCTACGTAATAACTCAGTAGGCTCATGCAGTATTAATGTCATGAATATTTGCTATCCTGGGAAACAGAATGATACCCTCTGCCAAATATTAAAATTCAAGATATGGGTGAATTTCAGTACAACAGCATATGCATAACATGTACAAAAATCTATATTCCAGGGCCCATCACCCAATAATATAAAAACAAAAAAGCCAGAAATGTTGACCTACTTTTAATCCCAGAACTTGGGAGCCACAGTCAGGGATCTCTGAGTTTGAGGCCAGCCTGGGTATATAGATTTACTTTCAGGACAGCCAGGGCTACACAGACAAACCTTGTCTTCAAAAACAAACAAAGGAACAAAACAAACAAACAAACTACAACAGCAGGCTACCAAATTGACTCAGCACTGAATAGCAATGCCTTCTACCGTATCTTACGTAACTTAGGGATAGAGTCTATAATGGTGGTTAAGGCATGACAGCACAAGAAGGAAGCTGGCTGATTTCTTTCAATCACAACATAGTAAATACAAAGGAACAGTAAATGGATTGAGGCTATTCCATCCCCAATGAGAAATTTCATCCAGAAAGGCTCCTCTTCCTCATTCACATTCCCAAAAGAGAAATGGACTAGTCTTAGTATAACTCTGCTATGCAGGGTTGTGTTGTTTATCCCTGGGATATCTGCTCTATTCTGAAGGGAAATAGAGAAGGAGTGGATCTAGTGGAGAGGGAAGCAGTGGAGACGACTGGGAAAAGAGGAGGGAGGGGAAACTGAAGTCAGGATGTATTGTGTGAGAGAAGAAAATTTTAAAAAGGAAAAAAATATGGACACATTGAAGGAAGATTGGACCAAGGCAAACCTAAAATTTAGCAGGGTAAACAACAAATCCTATAGCTCTGTCTCAGACAAGTAGGGCTTCATTTTCAAAGGTCTTCCATAGTTCTATCCCTGAAATTTTTCATACATGTCTCTCCTTTGCTACTTCCACTCCCTGTATGCAGCTCTCCATGGCAGATGTCTCATGGTTTGGGTATTTCACCATCCTATCATCTCAAAATACAACACTGCCTTCATCTTCATGCAATGAGCTCTTACAGTCTCCTCACCTGAGTGTCTGACTCTGCCAAACATAGAAGGGTGCAATAGTGTTTAAATAAAATCACAGAGGAAAAATCTATGATCTATAAATTTTGCATCTTTCTTGTTTCCAGAACCAGTATGACATGAGTTACCACTGTTCCCCTCTCCCCACCAAAATATGGCTTTTAAGTTGTGCTGGACACTACCATGCATGGGCCAGAGTTGTAGCAGGTTCTGTATGAGGTTGCTTCTTGGGATCAGGAATTAAGTTGCCCATTCCTCGAATAAATTGAAGGCTGAGATGGATGGAATACCTTTGTTGAGACTTAGGAGACAAACCTTTACCAGTGGGAAATGCCTCAGGGGGCCTCTCACAGGCCCCCAAATCAAACACAGTCCAAACATTTCCAATCACCGTGGAGGTAGTTCCTCTCTAGGAAAATAATCTAGTGCCTAATGTAAAGAACAATACTGCACTAGATGATACAACTTTGATAGACAGATCAAAAATTCCAAAAAACACCATAAAACAAAATACTTTGACAGACTTCCATAAATGAACAAAAATCAAAGCTTAGAGTGCAAATTAACAGCATTGTCCTGCAAGGACTGGCGGACAGGTGACAATGTGACTCTAATTACACCAAAATCTTGGCATCAGAATTGGCCTCTTCAAGAGGTAGATGTCCAATTTCTAGGGATTGGAACCTTGTCTCAGGTAAAACAAAGTTCGAGATGGGTTGAATGCATAGGGTCAGAAGGACAGAGAGGAAGGCTGAAGCCACATGTGGCAAATGTAGCAGTGAGTCTTTGGGGCCGAGATCTGTTACAGCAATGGAATACCCAGAATAAAATTCCTCCAGTCTCAGAAGTGGAAAATAAACCAATTCATGTTTCTGGGAATAATATTATAAAATATTATAAAAACAGCCACCAACCATTCAGCTTGTACATAAACAGATCACAACTGCTGTTGAACTCTCAGAAGTACCAATGGCCCTAACTTTAAAATAGCTAACTGATAAACCTATCTGGGTTGGACAATGGCCTATGGCACAAGAAAAACTACAAGCTTTAGAACAGCTGGTTCAGGAGCAGTTAAATGCTCAACATATTGAAGAATCTACCAGCCCTTGGAATTCCCCTGTATTTGTTATTAAAAAGAAATCCCATAAATGGAGAATGCTGACAGAGCTGAGAGTCATTAATAAAGTAATTCAGCCTATGGGCTACCTACAGAATGGGATGCCCTTCCCCTCTCTGTTACCTAAAGAATGGCCTATTATACTTAATGACTTAAAAGACTGTTTCTTCACTATACCTCTACAAGAAAAGGACAGAGAAAAATTTGCCTTCACGGTACCTACTTAAAATAATTCCCAGCCACTCAAGAGATATCAATGGAAGGTCCTCCCACAGAAAATGTTATATAGCCCTACCCTGTGCCAACATTTTGTGCAAAAACTGTTGGAAATAATTCATTCAAAATTTCCACAATCTATAATCTACCATTATATGGATGATATCTTATTAGCTGATCCAAAGTTAGGTACCTTAGAAAACATGTTTGAAGAAGGAAAGAAAGTTTTGCCTCACTGGGGATTACAAATTGCTCCTGAAAAAAATACAAAGAGGAAATTCTATTAAATACTTAGGATATAAGATAGATCTATGCTGGGTGGTGGTGACGCACACCTTTAATCTGAGCACTTGTGAGGCAGAGCCAGGTGGATCTCTGTGAGTTCGAGGCCAGCCTGGTCTGCAGAGCAAGATCCAGGACAGGCACCAAAACTACACAGAACAACCCTGTCTCAAAAACAAAACAAAATGAAACAAAAAGATAGATCTACAAAAAATTAGACACCAAAAGGTACAACTCAGGGGAGATCATTGTGGACTAATGATTTTCAAAAATTGTTAGGGAATATTTCCAGCTTACAGACCATCATTGGAATACCTAAAGATGGAGTAGTAAATTTGGCCAGTACCCTAAAATGGGACAAGGATTTAAATAATCCAAAAGAAGTATCAGCTGAAGCTGAGAAGGAATTGGCTCTAGTAGAAAAGAAAATACGAGAGGCACATGTGGATTGTAGGAATCCAGAACTTAACTGCATTCTGGTCATACTCCCCTCTAGACACTCCCCCCACAGGGATTTTGATGCAGAGGGATGATATTATATTGGAATGGATATTTCTGACATGTAAACTGAGTAAGAAGTTAAAGATTTATGTAGAAAAGATCTCTGATTTGATTCTAAAAGGAAAACTAAGACTTCAGCAGAAATTGTAGTACCTTTAACTAATGAGGACATTTCTTCTTTATGGAAAGATAATGACTACTGGCAAAGAGCCTGCAGTGAATTTTTGGGAGAGATTAACAATTATTATCGCAAAAGCAAGAGAAGAGAACAGAATTCATAAAGAGAACTGACTGGGTCCTTCCTCACATTATATGGCAAAAACCAATCTCTGGAGTCCCCACATTCTATACTGATGCACATAAATTGTTGGAGACTGACCCAGGACTGTTTGACCCAGGACTGTTATGTCTTGAGTTTATCTGCTTTGTGGAGTCTTGCAAAAACAGGGCGTCCTTGGCCTAACCACAAAATGTACGTTTAGATAAACCACCTGGCATAAACTGTAATCGGCGAGTTGCAGAAGCCTGGGACCAAAGAAACACCCTACCCTGACCACCCTGACTTCTTCTCAAAAAATTTCCACTCTCCCTGCTCCCCCTCCCTGCCTGAAATCCTGCCTATAAGCTGCAACATCCTGCCAATAAACGAGACCTTGACGCGACTCAGACTGACTCTGTCTTTCTTTATGTGCCTGGTCTCCTTCTTCTCTCGCCCCCATTGGCTTTCAGGTGGTTCCCTCCTCAAGACCCTCGAATAACCTGACCTGCTGGACGGGTCAATAAATCAGGAAAGGCAGGATATAAATCAGGAGACTTGGCCGGGTGGTGGTAGGTCATGCCATTAATCCCAGCACTCGGGAGAAAGAGCCAGGCAGATCTCTGTGAGCTCGAGGCCAGCCTGGACTATAGAGTGAGTTCCAGGAAAGATGCAAAGCTA